TCAACTCATTAACAGGTCACCAGAAAATAAATTAATAATCCACATTCATTGCCTTTGATCTTCTTTTTTGATCTTGAGAAATACAGCCTATTATACAAACCTTTAATTTTGCATTGAACCTCAAGCCAGACCTCGTCCTCATGGAGAATGACTTGTAATTGTGTATCCCATGATGCCTCTTGCCCTGGCCTTGGACAAATGAATGGCTGTGTGTGTGTAGTATTGAAGGCAAAAGGTCACTCAAATGTGAAGGACGTCAAGTAAATTACAATCACAGAACCATGTGACAGTTTTGCTATTTCATCAGGGGTGTCAATAGAAACGATCGCGTCTGACAATAAGGTGTTCGTCTACACTTGATTGTTTTTTTGTCATAAAAGTTGTATAATTAGGCCTAAAACATTGTGCAAATTCTGAATATGCATGTTTTTATATAAGATGAGTTTTCTTGTTTGCATCTTTCATCAGTAAGTTTACGTTTTTGGCAGCTCATTACTTAAACTGTCAGATTCGTTGAATATTAATTACAATATGGGCGGGGCTGCTTGTTTGCCTGGCCAATCTAAGATGAGGGGAGTGGTCATTATTTTTTGCAGTTCAATTCTGGTGGTACAGAAATTACACACTTCGCTTTTAAAATATAAGAGTATAGGCCAACAAGTTGGTAGACGTGCCTTTTTTAAGAAAAGACTTGCTAACTTGATAATGAAGGGCTGTTGTCACAAGTTGTTGTTAACTTAAAACAAATTCAAAGTTAACTGAAATAAAACTGAAATAGATATCAGATGAAAACCTTAAATTAAAATACTGAAACTGAAATAAACAAATGAAATACTTAAGCTACTAAAATAAAAAATGAAATAAATATATTGAGACACACACACACACACACACACACACACACACACACACACAAAAGCACATAAAACTTCAAATAAAACAAGCTAAAAGTAAAATGAAAACTGCAAACATAAAAATAAAACCTAATTCTAAATACTATATTATTAATACTATAACAACACTGCCAAGGGCAAATCCAGGCCAAGGTGTATAGGGAAAATAATCTATCATCTCAAGACGTTTATCGTGATGGAACCTGGATGTTTTGTTTGGCCTGCTAATAAGAGATGAACTTGCAATTTTCTCTTTCTCCATCTTTCTTATTACATTCAAAATATTTTACAGGCTTTCGCATTGCCTCTGGGGAAGGTCACAGTGGCCCTAAATAATTCTGAATAGCTATAGGCTAAAAATACACTCTAGTTTCTGTTTAATGGAGTGAGATGAATTTCACTTTCCTCTGAATTCAATTCCAATTTGATGTTGTTTTACCCCAAGCACATGGCACAGAGCATGTGCTTTTATTCCCATGCCAAGCCAACTGGTGTTCAGCTCCCACCACAGCCAAATGGCCATCACCATATAATTACCAGCTTCCGTTTCCAGCTGCTTTGTCTCCGGATTGTCTTTAATTGTTAGTAAATTGCAATTATTATTCCACTCGCTGGGTGTAGGAGGTTATCGTTGCATAATTACTCTTGTAAAGTATCCGTCTCAGGCCGTGGACAGTCCACATCAATAGAGGACACCAAACTTGTTTAGTTTTTTTGCGCAAGATGTCACGGATTGTCGCGTGTGGGCATCGGCGAGCTCCTTTGTGAGAGATGTAGACTGTGTTTAGGCTGTCATTACGCACACCCCCACCCGTTCGGGACTGAAAACCCCGCCTGTAAGAATTTGTTTGCGTTTGAGCAGCTGCTGCGAGGTGTAAGCTTTATTCATACACTGCTTTCATCTCTGGCGTCGTTGCATTTGGTGGCGTGATGGCAAAGCGCCATGGGCGGCACTCTCGGCCCAGGTTAGTAAGATAGAAAGGGCGGCTGATGTGTCAGCATGTTATTATAGCGGAGTTTGTTTATTATACACATGAATTTTGGCTATCACTATTGAGATTCAGCTGTACTAGTCTCAAGGGTCTTTTCCCCAGAAATGAAAATACACCGTCTGCACTGAGTGACACAACAGAGACTTGTTCAAACAAAAGTGGGATGTCTTATCTTAGACTGCTTATTTTAACATCCCACTGCGCGATGGCTTTTTAATTAGCTTTTGAGAGGATGCTAACCTTGTAAAAACGTAACGTCGATGTTGACAGAACAGGCAAATCTTCTAATGACTGTGTGTTGGTATTAAGACTGCATAATGAATGCAGAGAAAAGCTGATTCGAAGATTCCATTTTTAACGTAAGCATATTGACCTTTCATGACAGATGTAGCGTGAGATTAGTGATGGTATATGGGTCTGGTGAAGCATTTCAACGGCTATTAAAGGGAGAGTTCTTTGTTCTGTTGAACACTGAAAATATATTTTGAAGAATGTTGGAAACCAAAAATCTGCTGGTAGCCATCGACTTCCTTAATATGGAAAACATACTGTGGAAGTCAAAGGCTACCAGAAACGGTTTGGTTACCAGCATTCTTCAAAATATCTTGTGTTTAACAGAAGAAATAAATTCTTACGGGTTTGGAACGACATTAGGCTGAGTAAATAGTGACAAAATTGGCATTTTTGGGTGAACTGTCTCTTTAAACATGCCAAAAAATGTTTACTTTCTTCAGAAACAGAAGTTGCATCAGAAGAGTTCAGTAGTGACTGTACAATTTCATCACACATTCCAGATGATGTAATCGAGTCAGTCTCGAACTACTATTTTTTTTGTGGAAGTTGCTATGTAACAGAAGTGACGATGTGACATACATAAACATATTGTGATGTAAGTTTAATAAATTGTCAGAAAGGGGAAAATGCAATCTGAATAGGATGTAAATGCAAGCTTGCAGTCAATTTTAATAAAGGGGCAGAGTTTAAGTGGACAAAGTAATTGGAGAAGTCCAACATATGTCACCAGAGAGAAGTCTGCCGTTTCACTGGAAGATCAAGTTATAACATTTTGATTAAAAATTGCAAATGCAAAAGTATCTGTAAGATGCATCTTGAAAATAGACAGGGTGAATTTCTATTTCATGTTGACCTTAAACTTATATAGGCTAGTTTTATACTTATAAGCAATAAGTAATAAGCAATAAGTTTCATATCTCTGTCTAAAGTCTGATTCAATTATGTCAGTATTTTTTTGCTTTGAATCAAAATTTGGCAAGCTTCAACTCACAAATTAGATTTTGAAGAAAATTACTGTAAAGAAAATGAATATTGCTTGTCTTATATTACTGTTGGTGCCATTTTATGCAAGCAACATCGCACTGGAGGTCATAAAGCACACTGATTTTACCATAGTTAAGGGGCTTTGTGTCATGCCTAACCTTATCAACACCCCTTACCCATGATAAAATCACTGCAATATAATGGCCTTGAGTGGATTATTGCTTTAATAAAGCACACATTGTACCTTAGGGCTAAGTTTGAATTGCTTGTTTATTTGAGGTGTTAAGTTCAAACACTTTTACAGGTCTAAACTTCCTATTTAAAAAAAAAAAGACTGAATTGTTAATCATTGTCACAGCATTCACACTCAGCTAATAATGTTAATGTTGTTTCATTTCACGCATCTGAGAAAGAACAAAAGAGACTGGATTACGTTAATACAGTATTGTTTTTATTCATTTATATGGCATTGATGAATAAAACTAAAACAAGAGTTGCAATTATGCCAAGGCTGACAAACGAAACCTCATGTGAATCCAAAAACCAGACCTCGGATAATTCAAGCATCTGAACAGTTTTCGAACCATGTCCGGCTATCGTGGAATTATCGCGGTGAAGTGTGACAGTGTTTATCATAGTCACACTGTGTCGTATAGTGTGTGAAACGGTGGTTATGTGTTAGGCTTTGGAATGGGAAATATGGATATAATAGAACATATATATTTATGTATATATATTATACATAGCATGGTTCATAAATTTGAGAGCATCATTGTCCTTGACTTGGGTTCTGCCTTTGCCGATAGCCCTTTCCCAACGGTGGTTTATTTAGGGCCATCTATGAAGCATGACATAGGATACCTCGCTGAACCGCCCCCGAGATGTTTTGCATAGACGCCAAGTTAAATTCATGCAAATGAGTGTGGGAAAGACGTTTGAGAAGATCTAAACAAAACAAAAAATTACGCTAAAGAAAAAAAATGACAAACACGAGTCAAGGTTACACTACATCTACCAAGTGAATGAATCGTGTGAGTGGTCACATTACATTTTTAGGACTCTAGGTTTAGAAAAATAAGTGTGATTATTTATATTTAAAAAAAAACAAAAAGAAAAAAAAACAAACAAAAAGTCAGTCCACGTAATATACTCTGTGATCGAGCATAATGATTACTGTAGCTACACTTGAAGCATGTTTATGTGTAGGTCTGCTATATGTGTATATTTTAGTATTTTCAAACCAATATTGCTCTTCTGCAACACTGCCTATTTTTAACGCCATCGACAGAGACCTAGGTGTTAGCTATCTTCGCTAGTGTGAGGGGCCAAGTCAACATGCAGCATTAGTTTCCGACAAGGGCAGTCACCATGCATAGTAGTCATTTTATGCCATTAGAAATGGTGAAAGAAACCCCCTGAAATTATATTTTCCATATACTGCCATGGCTAGCCAAAGTTTTGAAATTAATTTGCTAGCTGTTTCGTATTTGGATATTTAATCACACCAGAATTCACCGTGGCACCATACACTTCCCATAGAAAGTAAAGAAACGTACTACTTAACTATTTTGTTCGTGGTTACTTAGACGTGTGTCTTTTTCAGGATGTATGCAACCATGATCAATGGAAGAAATTAAAAAAAATTACAGAAAACAGTTACAGAAAACAAACATTGACTGTAGAAGAAACACTCCGCACAATAAATAAAATAAATAACATTTCAGAACGAATGCGAACACAAAATGTAACACAAAAGCAAGGTTTAGATCTGTTGTCATTTTTAAAAACATTTCCTTTTTTTTCATATTTTGTTTTAATACATCATTTAAAGATTTCTAAAAAAAATCAGGAAGTTGTATACAGAAGCATTCACAGACATCATTGTATAAAAGCTGATACATAAGAGATTAGCATCAGTCAACAGTGTTCTACGTTATAAACTCTTTGCGGGAATATTTCGTTATTATCAATAAATAAGAGCAGACAATAAACGTGTGAAAAGATTTCGGGGGAAAAGGGAGATTAGGAATAGTCTATGGCTTTAGCGGCTACCTCAGCCAAAAAAAAGTAATAATTAAAATGTATGCCATTATTTTCCTACAGTTATTTCAGGACAAGCTACTAAACCAAAAAGAAAATAAGTTGGTACTGTCTGTTTCTACACCGCTACATCAGGCTAGAAGAGAAGAACCCTCAAAGTATTCCTCTCTCGGAAACAAAGGAGGTACTCAGTAGTTCCTCTTCAGTAGGGCGAAAACTTCTGTCGCTCTGGTTTCTTAATGCCGTTGGCGGAGGAGATCTTGGCGGTGTAGGAGGCCAAGGTGCCGTGGGTGGGGGCAGCGGCGGCGGCGGCAGCAGCTGTGGCAGCAGGGGCCGAGAGTGTCAGGAAGGGGACGGATTTGATTCCCAGGAGGCTGGAGAGGGGAAGGGTATAGGGGGCGCCCAAGATTGGAGCATGGGGCAGGCCGCCCATCGCTGCCAGGGCTGCGGCAGAGGACGATGCATGGGGAGCACTCTGGGTGAAGCTCATGTTGAGGTCTACAGGGGTCGACATGGAGGAGGACTGGGCAGTGGATTTGGCGGTCTCTAAACTGTACGAGGGAGGGAAGGAAGGAGGTGGAGGAGAGGAGGGTGGAGGGACAAGGGAGGGGAGCCGGATGGAGAAGGGTTAGAAGGTTAAATAAAAGACATGTTAAACAAAAATTGAGAGAAATAAAAAAAGAATCAAAATCAGAAACAAAAAATCATAAGAGAGGTGTGTTTTGCTGGTGGTTGCAACAGATTATTTGAGGGGGGACCTTGGCACTCATGGGAAAGGAGCTGTTTAATTCAGGGTGATGGCTTGGGTAGGGGCTTTGGGAAAAGAAACAAAATGATTTCAATTTCAGTAGCATTTCCTTTATCTTTTATAAAGTCGTCAAAAAGATGCATTTGCACTGAGTACCATCTTGACAAATGCATGTAATCAAATGTGCTCTGCCATTAACGTATATTTCGAGGGCGCATAACTGATTTCTCAGGACATTATCAAGTATGGGGTGTGTTCAATATGCAGAACGCTCTGATGCAATCTGTCTCGGAGGAAGTATTCTTCGAGAGTGACAATGATTGGGGGTGACGTCTCCAGACTTCATCCAGGACATGAACAATCATGTTTGATTTTTAATGGCTTGATGGAGCTGACTCATTAAGGAAGTATTCTGACGCTAGAGTGCCTTCGGTTGCTCTGGGATCGGCGTGTGTTGCCGTCACTTGTCCAAAACCAAACTGATATGAATTCAACTGATGGGAAACCACTAAAATCAATAATATTAAGACAGGAACAAAACAACAAAAGCTTTCCCAAAATCAACATAGTAATTTTTCCATGCAGGATGCCTGAGTAACATATTTCAAATAAAATAATGAGGGGCTTCTCAGAGTGAGTTTGACATTCTGCACCGGTCTGCTTGTTGAACACACCTGAGACAAGCATAAATATTTCATTCAGGACCCAATTATTGCTCTCGTCAACCTGCTGAGTCATAATATGCTAGAAGAATTAATATATTATTTTGCACACGACACTGCATCTGATAGAAATCTTAATTTCTTTTCTAGCTAGTACAGAAATGCGGGAATAAATAAAGAAGCCACTCATTTGGAGAATGAATTTACTCATTCTCTCACTCATTCACTCATTTAGAAGAATTTTTATAAGCCTGGGTAAAGAACAAAACTATTAATTTTGTTACATTAGCAAATTAAATTTAGCCCCAGCACTGATGGAGAAGTCTTCGCTGAGGAACTGAGCTGTCAGGAATTTACTGCTTTCTTGCCTGACACAACATTTGATCAAATTGCAACCACATAGATCTCGTGGGAGAAAATTACAGTCTGTCTATGAGGCAGCCAAAATACTCTGCCTTTAAGCTCTAACAAGCTTCTGGCTTGAAACTTGGCCAATGAATCCCTCAGCCTGGCGTCTTCCTACCACATCTCCTTGCTTTGTAGTTGTGCAATGCTTTTGCTCAAGACTGCTTCTTTTGGCCAGCAAACTATGGACTGAAAAGACCCCTGATTGCAAATTCCAGAGGTTTTGTCAGGGTCTCCTACTTCAGGGTGCTCTACAGCATTATGGTGTAAATTATGCCACATAAACACATGGAGTGGTCAAGTTCAAACACCCTGGTTCTGTTATGATGGAATGGCTTCCAGTGCTTACCAGGATGTGATTAGATACTGGGCCAAGTTGATGCTGATTGGGGAGCCTGTGATGGTGACGTGTCGGTCACTAGTGCTGTCCAGTTGACTGCCGATCTTGATCTGAGCCCCTGACACCTGGCGGATCTCGTTGATTTTTGTACCCTGTCTGCCGATTATTGAACCAATCAGCTGTGGGGAAATAAAAGACCAATCAGTTTAATAAATATTATATATAAACAGCTATTCATTGGCACTATTTCCCTCTAAGACAGGGGTGTCTAATCCAGCCTCTGGAGGGCCAAAGTCCATACATTTCCTTACACCTGCCTGGAGGTTTCTAGAAATCCTGAAGACCTTGACTAGCTGGTTCAAGTGTGTTTAATTTGGGTTGGAGTTAAACTCAGCAGGACAGTGGTCCTCAGGGACCAGGATAGGACACCAATGGTCATGGTACATATTGCAACATAAACATTATGAGAGCCTAGCCAGTTTAAAGAAAACTAAAACTGTGTCGCTCAGATTCCACATCAGGATCATTTTCCTGGAGCTTGGTCAACTGCAATCCAGAAATGCATAAACATGGCATACACTTGGTCCTACTGCCCAAGTGACTATTGATTTCAGGGACAGTATTTGCACTCTCATGCCTGTATCTAATGCGTTCCTTGACAAACACTTCAATCTCTCTTTGTGTGCATGTCATCATGGTTGACTTTGAGGTGCTGGTTTGCTGTGTTTGTTCATCTGGGCCTAAAATGACTGTGTCTGTGCATGGCATTGTCTCTGTAACAAGCATCTGCTAATAGTTCTGCAGATCCAGATGGTCAGTTTACACCAACAGCAGGTGGTGAACTAATTCATCCTACTGTGGCAGCATCAAGTTTTTTTTTTTAATATTTGAGGCAATCCAACACAGCCAAAACCTACTGTATGATCCAGATTACTGTACCTTCTGTGGAAGGTGTCCACAAGGAAGTGGACCAAGGGAGTTGGGTGACCTCAAGGCTTGGTGTCAAGCTCAGACAATGATAAAGCGGAGTGACCCCAACTGGGATGAGTTAACGGTTTGTCATTCAAATGACTGACAGCTTGTATTTTGTCCACCCTGCATCCCAGCCCCCAACCCTCACTTTGAGTGTGAGTTGGATTATGTGAGCAAGAATTGCTCCACAAAGCATTCCTTTCCTCACGAGTCATATGAACATCAAAGCTCCTGATTCGTCACACCGCTCTCCCTGGTGCCCAGGGGCTATTAATGGCTCAGCTGATTGTGGCTAAGTGCTTATAGCCAACCGCCAGGTCTCACTGCCACCCTGATGTAGAGGATTCTAGCATGTCCTCTGCACTGCACCACATATTTGCCCACTGATATCCTACATTTTTTGAACTCTTTGAATTATCCATCCTCCAGCAACATATCAATAAAACAAAGTATCGACACACACACACCCTCCTCCAACTGTCAAATTTACCAGTTCCAAACAAATACTTATGTTTTATTGATTTCTTTGTATCTATTGAAATCAAGGTGCATGCTTGGGGTCAAATCTGTCCGATGCGAGAGACAGGTATGTATACCCTAGTCAAGCTGAAGACAGGTCTATTTTAGGTGAATCTACTTCTTAGGTCGTAGTTTTGAAAGTATGGGGAGCATGAACACGTTTCCTGCCAGCTAAAACTGGTATCACTGATGGTCGTGTCCACCTCTCACAGGGCAGTCTCCGCATCCACTGCTGCGCTCTAGAGCACTGATCTGATCCCAATCTAATTGCGACGTGTTTCTACCGATTTAGAGGGATGGTTCACCATGGAGAAACTGCTCCTCTATAGAGCGAAACCTGATTGCGAATGATAAACAACTTAGTCTGCCAAGCGTTTGATGTCTGTTTGATGTCGCCTTGCCTTGGAATTGCATCGCTGTGAGGGAATTTAAATAATACATGCTTTCCATTGCCTTGTTTATGGCTTTACGCAGGAATATGAATGTACAAGCATGCTAAATTAGCCCTTGATTGGAGAAATTGGTGAAGTTTCTTTGAAGTTTACTATGTACGTTGAGGTTTAGAAATGAGGTCTAGCACCTAATGAATGCATTCAGGAAGTCTAGATTTATTTGAAGCTGGTGTCAATGTGATAAGAGCTGGGTTCTTGTTCATGTGCATCAAGGTAGTCAATGAATTTGCTTTTACGGAATCACTCTAGATAATGCATCCACTCAGTCATTACAGCTGCGCAAGAAATCAAAAATGCTGATGTAAGCACTATGTAAGCTTCACACTCATTTGTATAAGAGCACTTGGCATATTCTAAGAATAATTGTTGAAACGATCACTTACTACATTTACTGACAACACTAAATGAATAAGTAGTAGTTCACATAGGACATGCAATTGTTTTCAAAAACAGTTTGATAAAGAACATTACAATGACTTTTTATAATATAAACTGTTTAACTGGTGTGAGAGTGAGATAATGGGAAAAGTCAGACAATACACAAACTTATGTGAACAGCACCATTTTACAAAAAATTGCTGCCTTAATTGTAGATTATTACTAGTTGGGCATGAGGGCTTAAAATAACAAAACAATGGGAGCTGAATGTATATATTGAGTATGGTCAGAATCCACAACTGGGCCTTTGGCCAGTCGATTAATCCTGTGATCTCAGGGAGACATGGAGGCGAGAGGGAGCACCAGTCAGAAGGCATGAAGGGAACGTCCCGTTGGCCCCCGGGGTGCGGGGTCTGCACCACAACCTAGAGCTCTGACAAAAGGCTCTGGCTTTATTTACCGTCTCTGTTTTGACAGCAGAGGAGTGCTAAGAATGTCAGACACCATGACAGGATTGAACTGGATCTTGTGAAGCTCTTCTAGCAGAGCAGGGGGTGGACAGATAAAAAGACACAAGTCGGTGTGTTTGAAAGAAAAGTTTCAGGATTTTTGTATGGCCAAAGTGTGTCATGAGAGGTGCTCTTTAAAAAAAACAGGCTTTCTACAGAAAGCACTTAACTTAAGTCTAAAACAAAGATCTGACCGTCCTCAAAGATTTAATAATGTCTTCACACACAACATAAACATAATTAAGCATTATAACTAAAGCAAAAGTGCTGTTGTACAGGATATCAATGAGTAGCATGAGTAATGTGATACTTGCAAAAATACATTTTTGCACTTACGTCATTTGGAATGAGAAGTTCTTGTGATGCTGTCTGGGAACTGGACTCGATACCTGCTGGAAGAAGAATAGGTACCAAGTTAACAAACGATAGTAGAATTCACTGCTTGCTTTCTTCTTTCTTTCCCTTTCTTTTTGTTCAGCATTTGTGTTCTTCTAAATTTGACAGAAGCTCCTCTGAACTTATGTGGATAAGAGTAATCTTAGGATGTGTTATTTTCACCCATCATGCACAGCGCATTTTCTTTCTCCCTTTACTCTTTTGTATGTTCATTGTAAATAACAACCTAAAGGAAGAACAGTGAAACAGTTCAGGTTAATTCACTGATGCGATGAAGTTACAGCCCAAAACCAATTTTTAACTCATTCAGACTATTTAAAAAGCAAGGACTGTAACAAATCAGCAGCATCAAACCAAATCGCAATCTGTTTAATTGGATCAACATAGCAACAGTAGCTCAACTTATGGCATGAGTTTAGGGAGGGACGACCGACCTGGAATTGTTTTTAAAATGATATATGGTGTGTAAATCATAAAGGTTCTTTATCCTTGCATCCTGGAAATAAAAAAAAACAGGTTATACCAGCCTAAAGTTGTCAAGCTGTTTCAGAACAAGGTTAACCAGCTCAACTAAGTCCCCATTAGCTTAGTCAGGGTGGTTAACCAGGATACCCTTAACCCTCATATCCCGATAGTCACTAGTCCAACTGATCAACCACTTAGACTAGGTTACCTCACAAACTACTAAATGTATAACCCTTTTAAATTGGTTTACCATAAAAGAGCCTCTTAGCTTGTTCATAAGCCAAAACCAAAACCTAGGCCTGTGAATCAACATTATGCCACTAATGCTCGGTAGAGATTAAATTAGTGCTGGGCAGTAAGACCAAAAATTGATATCACGGTATTTTTCAAAATTATACCAGTTTCATGGTATAGGATGGTATTTATTTTGTTCATGCATGACCAGGTGTTAACCACATTTTCTACTGATTGAGAGAGGAAATAATGCAGTACATGGACTTAGAATGCCCTATTTTACTGTCATGATTCCAAACAGTCAAGCTGGTCCTCAGCTGGTCATGAGCTGGTTTAAGCTGGTCCTAAGCTGGTCATGAGCTGGTAATGTGCTGGTCCTAAGCTGGTCCTGAGCAGGAACTAGTTGCTTAGGACCAACACATGACCAGCTTAAACCAGCTCATGACCACAGGTTAATTCACTGATGCGATGAAGTTACAGCCCAAAACCAATTTTTAACTCATTCAGACTATTTAAAAAGCAAGGACTGTAACAAATCAGCAGCATCAAACCAAATCGCAATCTGTTTAATTGGATCAACATAGCAACAGTAGCTCAACTTATGGCATGAGTTTAGGGAGGGACGACCGACCTGGAATTGTTTTTAAAATGATATATGGTGTGTAAATCATAAAGGTTCTTTATCCTTGCATCCTGGAAATAAAAAAAAACAGGTTATACCAGCCTAAAGTTGTCAAGCTGTTTCAGAACAAGGTTAACCAGCTCAACTAAGTCCCCATTAGCTTAGTCAGGGTGGTTAACCAGGATACCCTTAACCCTCATATCCCGATAGTCACTAGTCCAACTGATCAACCACTTAGACTAGGTTACCTCACAAACTACTAAATGTATAACCCTTTTAAATTGGTTTACCATAAAAGAGCCTCTTAGCTTGTTCATAAGCCAAAACCAAAACCTAGGCCTGTGAATCAACATTATGCCACTAATGCTCGGTAGAGATTAAATTAGTGCTGGGCAGTAAGACCAAAAATTGATATCACGGTATTTTTCAAAATTATACCAGTTTCATGGTATAGGATGGTATTTATTTTGTTCATGCATGACCAGGTGTTAACCACATTTTCTACTGATTGAGAGAGGAAATAATGCAGTACATGGACTTAGAATGCCCTATTTTACTGTCATGATTCCAAACAGTCAAGCTGGTCCTCAGCTGGTCATGAGCTGGTTTAAGCTGGTCCTAAGCTGGTCATGAGCTGGTAATGTGCTGGTCCTAAGCTGGTCCTGAGCAGGAACTAGTTGCTTAGGACCAACACATGACCAGCTTAAACCAGCTCATGACCAGCTCAAACCAGCAGCCATGCTTCAAAACATACCTAACCAGCATAGGCTGGGGTTTTTTTTCAACAGGGATGGGCACAGAGCGAGCCTGTTTCTCTTTCCATCTACTTCCTGTCTCAGCAGGAGGCCCAGACCCAGCAGTGCCTCCCAACCCAACAGGGGCCTATTTAATAGACTGAAACATTGCCTTGACTGATGAGCTTTTTACCTCAGACATAATCGAATTCCCCAGCCATATCATGATAGGATGTGCTCTTGTAGTTTTAGCGGCAGGGGGCAACTATTAAATTTGTTTCGACCACTCAATTCCTTGAAAGGGCTTTTTGATTCTCACATTTGCTCCAAAAGTGCTTATTTACGTAATATTCAACAGTCTGTTGGCTTTAGAGGGCCTACACAACAAAACCTTTGGCAAATGTTGGGAAAGTCCATACAACTTGAAAGACATCGCTGAATATCTTGGGGTGGCTGTATAATTGGATGTCTGGTTCTGTGCAAGGGAAAAAAAGTGAAGGAGCAAGAAAAGAAGACAGTCCCTCCTTTTTCTTTAGCTGGACATTTGTCATGGCTCTGAGAAGCCCCAGGAGCTGACTGTGGAGCCTTGTAAAGCTTGGCCCCATTTTTGCAGCTGTAATCTGCATGTGCAGTATGCTCCATGGAGCTCAGGTGTATTACCTTGAACTTGGGTGGCCTCTGGGTCTTTGGGAGGTCTGTTTGATTCCATGTACTTAAGCTTGAGTTCTCAGGTGGAATTGTGTCACATACACACTCACTGTACGAGGAGATTTAGCGCTGCTAAAGCAGACTTGTGCTTCTGGGTAAATATAAGGTGTTTTTGCACTAGAGTTCTCTCAATAAGAAGTTTAGACCGATTAGAAGTAGAGTAAAAGTTAACCAAATGGAAAAAGCACCTACCTTTTGCATTTACACTGTTCCTGGCCTTTGAAAACATAACCAGATCACCTCTACACCATATTCCAGTGAACAATTTAAAAGGGGAATCCTGCTTGTGTGACCAAGGTGGCAACAAGCTGATTACAATCTATGCCACTGTCTAACCCATAATTTGTGTGATCTGCCTCCATCCCAACCATTATCATCCTCTTCAAAGAGACTCGGATTGGCAAAACATACCAGACAGAACTGGGGTGGCCGTTGGTTGAGCTATGGGGGCAAGACCGTGCTGCATGGACAACTGGTGCAACTTGGCCAACTGAGAAACAAAGAGAAAGAAAAATGGGAGGGAAATGTCATTTCAATCGTATGAAAGGGTTTTATTATCAGAAGACACAGCTGAGAATTGAACCATACTGTATAGTTCATTCACAATTGTAAAACAAGCTCATTTACTTCACAAAAAGAACACTCAACTAATGGAAGTTATGCAGTATGAAGATGGTTTTCAGAAATTCTCTCTAAAGCTTCTTACCTCTGAGTGTGGAATGCCGTATTGGTTTTGTACAGTATAAGCCTGAAAGAGAAATAGTAACAAGTGTTAAAATTGAAAGATACACTTAGAACATATTATTAAATCATTCTTTTTAAGCTCCTCATAACTATTTAACTCTTTCACCACCATTGAAGGAATTTTCTGGCAATCCATGTTTTCACTGTTTTACGGTAAGGGGCACTATTGTGCATCTTCTACAGAAATTCAGATCAGGAAACAAGCGGTAGAAGCTATCATCAAACAGTTAACAGCATTTAAATCAAAACTGCCTAATGTTATTGAAAGAAATGTTGAACCCTCAAAGAGGTATAGAACTTTCGCACACGCTAAACATTGAAGCTGTTAAATTATGAATGTATGTTGATATGTAATTGGTATATATCTATACAAGATATAAACATAAAAGCCTAGAGTTGTTTGCTGGTCTTCTCTTTTCTGTTGCCTGATTTTAGAAAGTATTTGGGCACTTGTCAACTGGTCAGGCCAGAACTAGGGGGTCTCTGACCCCTCTAGACCACCCTCCCACCTTTATAATTCAACAACTTTCTAAAGGGGACAGATGTGAAACTAGAAGATCTCTGAATCAAGGCTTCTTCATCAAAGAGAATGAGAAGCCAAATAGCCAGATGCAAAAGCTACAGAGAACGCTGTGTGCTGTTCCCAGAGGTTCTCTTGCATAAGCCTGTTTAAAAGTTTAAACACGTGGAAGAGAGATGGAGAGAGAAAAACCGAGGGAGGATAAAATGGAAAATAAAATAAAAAAAGATCAATGATGCAGAAATGGCAGTCCATGTTGAGGAGCAACCCTAGTTTGTGTCTCTGGTAGCCAAGTTAATAAAAAAAAAAAAGATTGGTCACGGCTCTCAAGGCAAACATTGTTTAGGGGGAAAAAACCATGACCCTTCTTTGTCAGGACAGATTTAGCTTGTCTCCGGAGGTGAGCTCAGAGTTTGCTACGTGACTGGCACCCCTACCCTTCAATGTCTCTGATAGGCTCCCATTTTGTTTTGCTATCTTTATTGTTTGTCCTCCTGTTCCTTTTCAATGTGTGCTTAAAATGTTAAAAATACAGCTTGCTTGCTTCTATGGAGCACAAAAAAGGGGTTTGCAAACTAGAAGGTCATGGACACAATCGCAAACTAAGACGAGCACTATATTCCAAGACATATCAAGTAATACAACAGCTTTGTGTGAGCAAAGACCGCAATTTAAGTTCAAACCTGACAACGTAATATCATTACCATATAAAAGAGCACACGCCAATATCCGAATTTCTATGCTTGAGAAAAAGAAAAAGAAAAAGAAAAACTTAACTGAGTCTGAAATTGAGGTCCTGCTGGCGGAGTTAGAGGTTCGTGCGGGGACGCTTTTTATTTAACAATGTGTAATCATTCTGTGGACAAACAATGTGTGTGGTTATATTTTTTCTATTGACTATTATCAAAATTAGTACTTCTAGAAACAACAGAAATAATAGTAGTAGTAGTAGTAGTAGTAGTAATTATAAAACAATTAGGTTTCCAAAAGTAAGAATAAACTACGAATTCAAGTAAAATTTTCAGTCATCTTATAAAAAGTGAGCCATCCTACTTTTAAAATCACTTGCTATGACAACTAATAAAGTTTATCACGAAATTCTTGCAAAACTTTAAAAAACATTATTGCAAGAAAAATTGGACGTTTCATATCATAATAAAATAAATTATTACTTACGCATTAGTAGTAAATCAAGACTTTGCAAGTTCTCTTGTAAAATAAAATAAAAAACAACAACATGGGATAAACTGTGTACAGAAAGCGAGTAAAGAACTCTCAACATTAGGCTACTAAAAAGGTCAGTTTAATCTCGCAAAAACTCCCGTTAATAAAAAATCCGACTACACTGCATTAATCTCTTACACTGCATCTTTGTTGTTTATGATGAATTCAGTGCTGGCACGTACACCGCTTTTATTATTATTGCAGCTTAGATGTTCAAATAGCTGCAGTACTCCGAGTTTGCCACAAGGAAAAGTGCGTACGCCTGCTCAGACCCTGACATTTTTATAAATATGAACGTTGCCGTGGATTTTAGCGTACGCACACTCTAAGACCAAATCTGTGCGTACACACATTTTATAAATGAGGCCCCTGGACGTGTCATTTGAATGCAAATGAGATTTGAGAGCCGAGGAGAAGATTAGAGTCGGCATGAAATGAAAATTCACTATATCTGTTTTCTAAATGCATGTTCACATTTGGATCTATATTGATCTTGTAATGTTTAAATCAAAATGACTTCTCCGGTGATGTATGATTCAGAAGACTTGGAATATAGCGAAGTCATATGGACCTCTTTAATGGCAATTTATTTCTGGAGCCTGATAGTCCTCAAAAAGGTTAGGAGCAAAATGAGGGTAAGGAAATAACCTGGAATTTAATTTGGTTGAACAATTACTTGGTTTCAAAAGCTACCGGGTAAGGACTTAAGTTAACAAAAAGGAGGTGGAGCTTTCATCATTTCAGTCATTTCTATATTTCTTTCCTTCCTGTTCTCTGAGCTCAAAACGCTAATGTACGATAATGTAGAAAAGCATTAATCGCCTGGCTGAGCCACTTAACGCAGCGTAATCCTTATGCACACACACACATATGTGGTGCCTTCATTAGCGAGAGCCGTGGTGATGTCAGTCCCCTGTCTCCTGGCAGACAGCATTTATCTCTGCTCGTTTAAGAGAATGTCAGTGACACCTCGTCCTTACAGCTCTCGAGGTAGAGTGTGTGTGTATTGGAAGGTCACATGGTTCCCCTTTTTAGCCTTCACATCAGCATTAGTCAGAGGTGGCTGACACTTAAAGGAACAGTTCACCCAAAAAAGAAAATTGTCATCATTAATTCACTCTCAAAACACAGGATGATTTCAGTAATATTCATGCGGTTGTTTTCCATACAACGAAAGCAGGCAGTGACCAGGGAATGTCAATCTCAAAAAAGGACATAAATGTAGTCCATAAAACTTCTTAAGTCATAAAACAGTTTTGTATGAGGAACAGACCATAATTTTAGTTGTTTTACTGAAAATGTTTGCCCTCCGCCATAGCTCTTTGTTTGCTGGCATGACACATATGATATTCCAGGTCTGATAGTGACAACAAATGCCACTGGTTCTCACGTCTCATAAATGAACCACCGTTTGAGTGCAAATGTGCGCTTATGTAAATAAAATCAGCTTAGACATTCTGCTAAACATCTCTTCTGGGTTTCACAGAAAAACAAAAATCTCATAGATTTGCAATCACATAAAGGTTGGTAAATGTTATTTTTTAGGAAATACTCCTTTTATACACACTTAACAGTCTTAACCTTAATATTGTGTCTCCAGGCCATGATAAACATTCTTTTACAACTGTGTTTAACTGCTGACTAGTAAAACTTGCACATATACACTGATAACAGTCTGCCCAGAAGACCTGAACATTAAGTCGAGAGATTATCAGTCATTCACACCATCATAGTATCCTCAAATGAACTTCCCACAGCAGCAGAGTATCCTGTAACTAAAACATCCAGAATAAATGTTTCTCACAGAAACATCAGTGATAAGCACCTTATACTGTTAAAGTACAGTGATATTTTTTTCCACCCTGTAAATTATACACTTCAAAGCTAAGTTGTTTGCAAACTTAGCAAGTAAGATGAAAAATCAACTTAAATTTTGGTCAGTTCCTCACAAAATATATGGATGCATGCATTTTATAATATGTTGCATTTATTTATTTTATTTTATTTATTTTTTTAGCTCATAATTGTGTATGTGAGCTACATGAAAACAGAAAAGTAAGTGTTTTGGGGTAAAAATGTCTTTATTGCTAAATCTTTTAAAATGTTGTAAATATAAAAGGGCCAAAGCTACGGCCTTGGGGGACACCCTATATTTCATACCTGCAAAGTTTACACAAATGTACAAAATCAAGTCAAAACTCAGTTCTCAACAAAAATCAATACAATTACAGCAGATCGATGGTAAAGCCATGCTTGAACTGAATGTCAAGTGGAAAAACAATCTCATGTCTAAAAACAGTAATTGCTGTATAGTCTCACTCCCTTGCTCAAGTGTGGAGGACACTGGCTGCAACATACGGCAGGAGGAATGATAGAGGGGAACAGAATTCCCATCTCCATGCAGGGGCGAAAGAGGCAAATAAAGAAAGAGTGGGAAGCAGAGCTCCCTATTTTATCCTTCATGGATAAATGATACTCACTTGTTGCAGATCCAGCCCTCCCTGAGCCACTGAGAAAAGCGGGTGAGACGCAAACTCTGACGTTTCGAAAACCTTAAAAAGGCAAATAGGGGACAGAGACACAAACCAAGGCTTAATTTGCATGTCATTAGTCTTACGAATATGCATATTTCGCATGTACATTAGCGTCAATTTTGCTATCATTACCATTAGGCGTGATTTGAATTCAGACAGAAGAGCGTTAAAAAAAAGATGAAGCAATGAACATTAATTTCATTATTAGACATTAATCTTACTCATCATGACAGACAGGTAAATATATCAAACAGACGATGCATCATAAGTGCACACGTCAAAGTTTCTGCCAGTCCGATTAATTACACCATTGGCAAATGACTTCACAACACTTTTAATTGTGAGGAATATTCATGAGCCCGATTGATCTTAATGCTACTGTTATTCATGCATAGGAGTGTTGATAATGAATAGCTGTGTCAACATGAATAAACATAACGGCCTCTTCTACTCTCTTCTGGAGACGTGTTGTGATGTGAAGTGAGTAACGGTGCAAACAATAGATTAAAGAGTGAAACAATAGACCTTAGTCTGGATAGATGGCATACTTCATTTGATGGGGATGAAAACAAGGCTGTGAAGAATGGAAGCACAGTTTGTTCAAAGGCCATTAAATCCGACAACTGAAGTAAGAATGGTTTTACAAACAAATTTAGTCGAAGCACTCAAAATATATCTTCCGACAAAACTGAGACTCGTGAACGCTTTTTACACACAAATTTGTTCAGCTTGTGTTTCAGGTTTTGAATATACTTCCATTCCTGAATCCCATTTTCATTTGTGCCAAATTAAACATGCCATTCACACTGAATAAGGTCTATTGAGTCTGTAAGAATTTCTCGCAATATGATATTAGCTGCATGACAGATTTATAACAGTGTAACCTAATAAATGGAACTAAACCTTAGATGTATTTATTCATGTTTGCAATACTTTGTTTACATGACTTCAGTCCATGTCATTAATGAGAACACACAACAAACAAGCTTAGAAATATTTCATAAACACAGACTGTCCCAACCAATACCTTTCATTGATGGACAGACGCTTTTTATTAAAGGAAATGGAGGCAGCATGCTGTCAGCTGTGTGGCGCTTTATGAAGCTCTACAATATTAAGTCAACTGAATATTAAGTATGTTCAGTGCACACAGCATATTTACAGGTGGGGTTTGTGTTTTTGGTGATGTTAATTGGATCTGCTTGATCCCAGCACTAAGTATGAGGGTTATATTTGAGACAATTAAACCTTGTTCACACAGGCATCCTTTTTTTTCTTTTTTTTTTTGGTGTACGCAAACACTATTACTAGACTGATCTACAAAAAAAAAAAAAAACCTGATTTAAATACATTTATACTTTAAAATGCATGCATTCATACAATTAAATAATGTAAACCTGATAAATTTAGCACCATGGTGAGAAGCCATAATAGACATCCACAATGACAACTTGCTAATTTCAGCTGTAAAAGAAACAACTCTCTTGGCATCATGATGACACCTACGTCATGAATCTCACAATCGATGTAGCTGTACCAGACATTGACTATACTGTCTGAACAAATGGATTCCAATTTCATTCCTTGCAAAATGTCACTTTGGACAGCCAGTCCTGAAGACTGGATTTGAAAAACAAATCAGATTTGTGTGCAGTGTGAACAAGGCCTTGAAGGAATAGTTCGGCCAAAAATGAAATTCTGTCATTATTTGACTTTGAATATAATAGACTATTTGTGGACTGCTTTTGTGATTGTGTTGTCATTTTGTTGCTTGACAACTCACTTTCATTATTTAAAAAAGAGAGGCCAGGATATGCTAAATTTTCCCAGAAGGAAAAAGTAATACATTTTTAAAACTATGGTGAGTACATTATTGAAAAAAAGTTACTTTTTTGATTGAACTATTCCTTTAACACTTATTAAAGGTGCACTGTGGAATATTTGGTTCTTTAAGCAGTTAAAGTTTAAAACTTACACTGGTACGCCCTATCTAAAAAAGTAAAATTCATAACACAAAAAAAAAATCCATACATAATATCTTTTGACTCATTGAAATGAACTGTTTTAAAATAAACAATCCTACAAAATGTCTATGGACGTGACAAATTGACATTTCCTGCAAAACCTCATTGGAGACCTCAAATTATTGGTTAGTATTATTAGAAGAACAGAATGGGTGTAAGACGAGACAAATTCAGAAACAGATTTTTAATTTTTTTTTGTACTTTCTCAATAATTGATTTTTGTTCATTTGTAGTGCACCTTTAAGTGTTATGGATTTTATAAGAAAAGTAGGACGCTTAGTATTGTGGATGAAAGAACCATGTGTTTTGCCATTTTGGTGTTTATTTTTACCTGATTTCCAGCAATGAGCACTGCGCCTGGAGCAGGATTGGGGCGGTACGGAATTGTAGCACCCTTTGGAGGAGACTGCAAACATACAACAATTATTAATTTTAACTCAGAACTTTACAGATTCACCCTCAATATTAAACTTTGACTATCCTTCTCGGCTCATTCGACAATAGCGCTAAAACATCTAGAACAAATCAAGGTTTCTCTTACCTAAGGCATTTGCAAAGTCATTTGGTCATATTATCTTAATGACTGGAAATGCTGACACGGTGCACAAATGCAACATTTATCGATTGGCTCTTCATCGGATCACTTAAAAGCATACCATTATCCTCTCACAGGAAGTCATTTGGCCAAATTATTTCAGAATGCTATTTGCTCGCTCGTGATATCCTCAGATGGAAAACTTGCAATGCTGAAAATGTGCCCTGAGCATGTTTTCGTTGAGTAGCATCATAAGTCTGTTGTTCAAACCTACATTTTACACCTACAACTTTAAAAAGGAATACAATTCATTTACAAAATGACTCTGAAATCACTCTTGGCCTTTTAGTCCAAGACAAGGTGTCATCTTGGCCTGAAGGACATCCTTTATAAAATAAAACATAAGTACGCCGATAACTGACTGTACCTGCTCATATGTAATTCGATTAAGAGGTCAGAATAAGGCCAAAGTGATGAAAACCCAGTGAAGCGCATCCCCCACAATTGCTCTCAATCAAACAAAAAGAATCTTTTTAAATATTCATTGGGTGACTTTGTATAATTTGCATCCTGGAGCAGGCAGACAGCTGAGGATTCCTAAAATGGGCAGTGTAGCCGTCAACAATCTGCTCCTCATCCAGTCCATTAAAAATTAAACAGAACGAGCAGTTCGCATTCAGCACAATCCCACTGACTAAAAAGTATAAACTCTTTTTCTCAACCATTTATGTGCAAAGAAACCCATTTGAGAGCAAATGCATTTCACGCTGTGTGAGAGCTGAGACCACATTCACTAATCATTACTGTAATGATTTTTAACATGCAGTTAGTTAGTTCAAGTATCTTTGTAAAAAAAGTATTTGACATGCAAAAAGCAATAAAAATATCTGTTTAGGCTCCAGAAATTTATCATATCCATTTATCAACGCCACTAAAGCTAAAACTGAAAACCAGCATGCGGTCTTTGAAGTACAGAAGCCTTTGAAGTCTTGCAGATTAGGAATATCACACAATAGTCATCCACAACAGTTTTTCAAGGCCAATGCATGCATAAAAATCTTGTGTTAATGAAGCCAAATGGATTTGCTCGGAGTCAAATTACCTCCAGTATTACAGTGCAGATGAGCCTGACACACTGGATGATGGCATCCTGACTGCCAGATATTGTCACACCTCTCTCTGTGGAGTTAGGCAGAAGATCTCCTGCCACCTGTACCTGAGCCCCTGTTTTCTGCCAAACCAAGGAAGAACAGATCATTAGTACACTGTTTTGCCTAGGTCAGATCTGTCCAGTCCTGCTCCTGGAGAGCCAGCTTCATGCAGAGTTTAGCTCCCACACACCTGTCTGACAGGTGAGACCTTAAATAGCATGTTTAGGTTGAGATGTCTTTATTTAGGGTTGGAGTTCAGTAAGAACTTGCTCCTACAAAAGCAGGATTGGACACCCCTGACCTAGGTAACGGAAAATGAGGACCAACCCAAACCTTAAAGGGATAGTTCACCCAAAAGATGAAAATTCTGTCATTAATTACTCACCCTCATGTCGTTCCAAACCCACCTTCGTGCAACTTTGGAACACAAATTAAGATATTTTTGATGAAATCCGAGAGCTTTCCGACCCTACATAGACAAGGCCCAGAATGGTGGTAAGGACATCTTTAAAATAGTCCATGTGACATCATTGGTTGAACCTTAATTTTATAAAGCTATGAGAATACTTTTTTGTGTGCAAAGAAAACAAAAATAATGACTTAATAATGGCACCACATGGTACTCTCGTGAATGCACGGAAGAAAATATATTGTTGAATAAAGTCATTATTTTTGTTTTCTTTGTGCACAAAAAAGAGTTCTCGTAGCTTCATAAAATTACAGTTGAACCACTGATGTCACATGGACTATTATAACAATGTCCTTACTACCTTTCTAGGCCTTTAACGTGGTAGTTGAGTTGGTGTCTATGAATTTCATCAAACATATCTTAATTTGTGTTCCAAAGATGAACGAATGTCTTACAGCTTTGGAATGACATGAGGATGAGTAATTAATGACAAAATGTCATTTTTGGGTGAACTATTCCTTTAACTTTACTGCAATCTTTCTCTTTGAAAATGTGTCCAAACTGATTTAGATAACTTAGATAACTTCTAGCAATTCCCCCCCTTAAGTATTGCTAGGTTAAAACCACCAAATACACATACATTTATAATCAAAACCATGGTGGAAACACCCTTGAATCCAAGAGTTCCTTAACCAAACCCCATGAAGCAAGAAGGTAGGACTAATACATTGAGATGCGCTGTGTTTACTTGGTGCTGCTAACTTTAAAGCCTCCAACAACCCACCGAACATACCCCGTTTCAGAACTTGCTTTCTTGCTTTGATTAGCTTAACGCACTTGATATTCCCCCAACTCCAACAACCTTCCCCACACCCCCTGCAACTGCATTACGGAACACACCAAATTTAGCATGACAGACCATTCACCATTACCTCATACCATCTTGACAGCCCAGAGACCATAAATGTAAAATAAATGGGCTTTTACTGGCATCCAAACCCATGAAATATGCAAGGGAGCAAGCAGTCCTAACATGGACGTCCTGGGGAGGAGGAAAGAAAGAGGGATATGGAAAAGCACTCACCTCTCTGATCTCTTTGATTTTGGAGCCGCCCTTGCCTATGAGGGAACCGCACTGGCTGGCCGGGATGACCAGCCGCAGCGTGACTGGAGGCTTACTGGTGACTGTGCCATTCGCCACAAGTGCAGCCAAGTCCTTGAGGGCCAAACATAGAATAAATGACGTGTTAACTGAAAGTTGTGCTGTGGCTTTTATGGTATCTTTCAAAAGAATAAGGATTTTGATTCTGAGTGGTTTGGAACCATGCTTAAAGATCTGGTCTGGTAAGTAGAAAGTTTTAGGATTGAACCTTCAAGCACTGATCCATCACTATTGTACCCTTGAGCAAGTGAATGAACCCCAGGTTACCCCCGGAGGGTATGATATCCTCATGCTACCAAGACTACTTCTACCAGCTTAACCTGGATTTTCTAGAGGGAATCAACAACACTGGTCTTTCCAAACACTAAATGGGTGCTGCCAACTGTTCCCATATTTTGCTGTAAACAAGCAAAAGTAAAAAAAAAGAAAAGCACCAGTTATTTGTTACCTGATTCAGGTAAGAGATCAGAGGCTTGGTTGTAAACAAGGAACAGCATTGCTCAACAAGATTTGAGACATGCCGTGAATTAATCTGGTGATTCCCCTTTGAAGGATGTCCTCATAATTCACAAGGATTGTTAATGTACTTTCTTTGTTCCAAGGTTTGAAAATGCCATTGTGCACCAATGACCCTTCGTGGCTTTTGATTGCAATCTGATGAAATGTTCTTTACCAAAGCCACTGTAATCAATTTCCCTATTCAGACTTTGCAGATCGATGTGCCTCGCTATCAAAAGGTTATAGCTGACTGAACACAGTTGCACCGCTGTCGAAGACACCCATTGATTTTTATGACCAAATTAAACGATATTTACCCACCTGTCATTCGCTCTGGTCTCTATCAAGATGTGACATGCATTCGCAAGGTGCGAAAACAGAACCCCAATAAAATAGCACATCTTGGCTTTTCAGAAATTTCTTATGGTTATTGCTTAAAGTAGAGCTATGCCTTCAAGTAGAGGAGGACAACTAGCGTTCCACTGTCATATTCCGGCAACTACAAGAAATCAGCTTTAGCGTCCATTATTCACCCAGTGCAGTTTCCGAAGCTTTCTCTTTAATTAAACCAGGTAATAAATATCAGCCCAAATCGTGGCCCACCACTGCTGCAATCAATTAGGGGGGAGCAGGAATCTTGCCGGGTTTGAAATGTTAATAGCGTGTGCTGTCTCTCTGCCCATCAAACCAGACCTCACCTACGTGAGTCGAATGAATACGCCTCAAGTGGCGTCTCGGAAAGTAGAGCTAGTGAGTCTTTTTCTTCTCTGTTTAGTGTTTCCATCAGCGTTAGGGGTTTGGAGACGCTGTTTGTTGTGTTCTTTCAACGTCTCGCCCCGAAACCTCCAGAGAACGAAGGGGAGGTGGAAAAAAATAACTCTGTGCATCTTTTCTTGCCGATGCTATGGAAAGGAATATGGCTGACTGAAATTATATTCTCTATTTCTTTCTGTTCCCAGTGCCTCTTTGTGGCCCTCTGTAGTATTTCTCAGTAGAATTAGGAGTGATATTAATATGCCTCATTCTTAATAACAGTGACTAAAGGATGTCCACTCCCCTGATTCATTCTTGATGTAGGACGTCACACAAAGCCTTTACCCCTCATCCCTCTCGTCTCATTTAACAACCCTCCTGGATAATAAAATATCAATTTAGATATTACTCTCAGCAGATTGACTCTGTCTTATTTGCATATTAGCTGTTGAGTAAGGGGGTCCTGGCTCAGAATTTATGACAATTTCTAAAGGCTCTTGATCTGATGCAACTAAAGAGCTGTTTTAAAGCTGCAATCTAAAGCATATGCAACAACAACTCAGGGTTGACAGCATGTGGGTGAAGTCAAAAACAATTTCTGAAGCAAAGCAAGAAATGTTTAGTGCCATTCAAGTGCCTTCTGTTGTTCTAGTACCACGAATCAACAGCAACAATATAACATTCTATAAATAATACAAAAAAGTACAAATAAATTACCCTTGTTGTGTCTATTTTATGTGGATATGGATCTCAAGCATTAAAATTATGATGATAAATTGTTATTATTATTATTATACACTGTAACATGATTTTTTGAAGTTGTAAATAATACATTAGATTAGATATTCTAATGTAAATAATATATTATAATACATAAGCTTATTGGTTGAAGTTTTACAAGAAAATACTTTTCTGCTTAAATTTAATGTTTGAATGTTAATTTATTTGTAATTACTTGTGAAATGTACCATATATTTAATTATGTTGTAATAATAATAAATCTATCATGGCAGATTTCTAATGTGAATGCATTTAGTTTTATATTTATTATTTTAACATGATTGCTTAATAATTTAAACAGGGTTCTGTTACTGATTCCAAATTACATGAAACAATTGATTGTTAGTAAGTTAGTAACGTAATCCATTACATTACATATTTTAGGTAATATAATCAGACAACTTTTTGATTACTTTTCTATTTGTTTGTCACATTGATTTAAATAGGATAATCTTATACCATATTGATATGAAATACAAAGAGTAAGAAAATATATTACATTTGTTGTTATTAACAACATGAAGTGCATTAAACATTATATTACGTCAAGGTATCCCCAACTGAGTTTGGGAACTGCAGGGGGTTCATGGGTTTAATGAAAAGCTGATAATTAATTAGATCACAAAAAAATGTAAGTAAATAATTTGAAAATAACATTAATAAAAAAAAACGCACTTACTAAAAAAATGAAATATTCCGTTTGTGTGAACATTGTGAACATTAACCAACATCAGAGAACCGTGAACAAGCAAATGTGATATATAATTATTAAAATATTTATTTTAAAATATCAGGGGTACTTCAAGTAAATATATTAGGTGAAAGAGGTTTGGCTGACAAAAATTTTGGGAATGCCTGCATTACATGGAAATAAAAAAATTATGTGAATTTATGCAATATTAATATTCATTTTTACATTGTTTGCCAAAATGTTTGCACATAAAACCATGTGGAATTCTTAGTGAATAAGACCTAGTGTCTTAGTGTCCCATGGCATGCCCTGTGAATTTTTAGCTTAAAAAACCTCAACTCTGTTCTTTTCTAGTCTAGACTTTCACAGTCTTCTCCCTAAGCTCTGAAATTCTTTGTCTATTCTGTCATATATCATCCGAAACTCTGAAACATGGTTTTTAGATGTCCTCCATGTTCTCAGCTGACTGAAAGAGCGGGCAAAAACATTCTGGATCAAAGCTGGGCCAGACCTCAATAGAGCTCCTTGTAAAATTCAACCAGTAATGCTCATTATATGCTCGGCATAAACGAACCTCGCCACCACCTCAGGGGTTTCTATGGTGACTCTTCCGTTATGGGTACGGAAACGGGCTTGTGTGGAGGACAGGGAGATTCCTAACAGATGTTTAATGAATGGCACCCTGCCTGCTATGAAAGGATATCAAATACATAATGGATTTAGCAGGAGTGAGAAGATTCATTATTACTTGGTGGGTGTAGAGCTGACATGCTGCAGGCAGACAAACACACCTCATTGACTAGCAGTTATATAACTCTACTGATGCCATTAATAAAAGTACGGATGTGGGACGCATACGTATGTATGTTTCTATAAATGACTGGGTATTTTCAGGCTTACATTTGGCTGCTTATGCATTTACCTTCAATTTTTAGAATGATTTTTAGATCCCGACCTCAGACTCATGCCATTGGTTGAGTTAACGTTGCTGTCAGGCGAGAAAGTTTTTGAAATACATGACACACATCAGCTTCAAAAGTCCCATCGCGATTTGGGAAGTCTGGCACTTTTTTCAGAGAGCTGTATGTCTCTTTTCAGCAATTGTTCACTGGCATCAGCAAGGGAATGTATCGTGTAGGGGCTCAAATTATATTTCTGAGGTTATCCTACAACAGATAGGCACCCCACTGCTATGGGACCGATTGACGATATATGAAAACTACCCACGACTCTTTCATCCAGCTGTTCTTACAAACCATGTCTCAAAATTGCTGAAATTCAAACATGCAGAGTTAAAGGGTGTTCATGCGTTCAGCCTGACAGCTTTATCTCTGCAAATCGTCCGGAAACCATTCAGTTTCTGCACAAGTCAGTTATTTGCAGACTGTGGACGATGCGATAAATTTAAAAAGGTTTTGAATAGCATTAAGTAATTATTTATTACTATCATCGAAATTGTTTCTCTGTTATTATGTTCTATTTTAACGATCTAAGCGCATGGTCTAAAGCGCATGGCGCAGGTGCACTTAGGGCGTGTCCAAATCCACTTTTGCTAGTTTAACAACGAGAAAAAACGGTCGGCGCACCCGGCGCATGGTCTAAAAGTGTTGTCCCTATTTTCTTAATGAGTAATGGGTGTCTTTTGTGCGTAACGTGCAATAAACCAATCAGAGTCTCATCTCCCATTCCCTTTAAGAGCCAGTTGCGCTTGTGCCATGGCGGATTTGCTATTTACACGGCGGAATTTGCAAGCGCAAAGACAGAACGCGTCTCCAGAGATGAAACGGAGCTGCTCGTGCACGAGCAAATAGGTAGCCTAATTCTGATACATGCAATGACTATTCATTATGACATGTAGGCATTTTTATATTTATGTAGCCTACACAATAATAATCTTTTACATTGCAATCCTTTCATTTTTAATATTTGGCATGTTTGTGTGCTGCTGTGCATCCCTGTGTGTGTAATAAGCAGAGTGTACGCACGTTGTGCACCCGCCTGTAGGCGCATATTACTAACGCGCTCTTTAAATAACAAAAAAATAAATAAATATTGCGTCAGACTTTAGACCAGGTTTTTGTTGGTCAAAGGTGCAGTCTATTTCAGTTGCCTCAAAATAGCAACGCGCCAGCAATGCGTCTGAACACATCTCGTTTTCATGTTACATTTTGTAGGGACATGCTACAAAATCACATTCAAAATGTGCAAGATTCCAGAGACCCGTTAGTTAATTTAAGTTTTTACTCACTCAAGACATGGAGACATTTTTGATCAAATGTAATGAAAACAGGGGACCAAAATGAACTCTTCTTGTCATGAGTGATATTATAAT